CCAGCTTCAATATCTCGAATTAGAGTTAAAAGAGTGGATTTAGAGCTAAGAGGCAATAATTAGAAAACTGGCACAAATATATAGGCCACATGCAAATTTCTGTAATTCATTTGGTTGCTATATGTAATTGAACACCATGTGTTGTATTTATCTGTTATAACTTTGAAGTCTCCTTTAATCTTAGAGTCCCTACATCTTTTAAAAATTTGCCAGTCATTACATTGACATTTTTTAAAGAGTCTAGGCCAGTTACTTTGCACAATTTCTCTCAATGTGGATTTATCTTTTTGTTTGTTCATGATTAGATTCAGGTTAAACACTATTGGCAGGAATATTACATAGTTAAAATATTGTGTCAGTGAAACATATCACAAAGCACATGGTATAAGTTTGTCTCATTACTAGTGACAGTTAAGTTTGATCATTTGGTTAAAGTTATGGCGGCCAACAGATTTATCCATTTCCCTGTTGTGATTAATCAAGTACTCAATTGAGTGATATTTTAAGAATATGCAACTGTCTTTGTTTACAAAAAAATTTCACCCAATTGACTTAGCACCTATTGGTAATTCTTGGTTGAATGCATTATTGTAACAGTTGTGAAATGGCAACTTTTCTGGGCTTTCATTCCCTTTACAATGAATTAGCAATTTGAAGAACTAAAAAGCTTGGCGCAAGTTGGGCTGCAGGCCATGTTCCTGAAAAAGACAGTCTTCTTTCAGTTCCTTATCTCCCTGCCTTTCCTACCACTTCACCCATTTCCCTACATCTCAGGGAAAACATGTTGTAGGCCTTGTTTTACTATCCATCCTCAAAATGCTATTTATGATTGAGAATCAAAATGCAATTATGATATTTTAATAGATACTGGGTTTCTCATTATATAAGATTTTAATTTTTTTATTTTTATTTAATTTTTGCTGAGGAAAATTTGTCCTGAGCTAACATCTGTTGCCAATCTTCCTCTTTTTACTTGAGGAAGATTCGCCCTGAGCTAACATCTGTGCTGATCTTCCTTTATTTTGTACGTGGGTCGCCACCACAGCATGGCCGCTGACAAGTAGTATAGGTCCGTGCCTGGGAACTGAACCTGGGCCGCTGAAGCGGAGTGTGCCAACTTAACCACTAGGCCATGGGGCTGACCCCATATTTTTAAAAAACATATTTTTGAGTTTGAAAGATTTGAAACTTTTACAGTTTAATTCCCCAAGCTAGGGACCAAAAACAATTTGTGTGTTGTTCATTAATGCATTTGTTCAATAAATTATTCATTCAACAAATATTATGTGCCATTCAGAGTACTGAAAGCTGAGGTTAGAGGAGGGAACTTACTTCAAAGTGCTGTAGAATGTGTCTAAACTATGGTATCAAGCAGTCCTGGGTATTAATACTTGTTCCATATTAGTCATATGACAAATTCCATGACTTCTATGACCTCTGTTTTCTCATCTTTGAATATGGATAATTGTAGCTATGTCACTAAATGAATACAATGATTAATTTAAATACACACAGGCACACACACACGTATACAGGCAGCCCTCAGTTTGCACGGCACCAATTCAACTGAAATGTGTGCATATCTGAGCCATGTCCTCATTTTGCATGGTCCTGATATGCATGAGTTTCAGTTAGCATGGCACTCTGCAAGATGAGGGCTGCCTCTGTATATAAAACATTCTAGACAATTGTGGGGAATACAGCAAATTCTCAAAAGTGGTACCTATATTGTTAAATCAGGAAATCTTTTTACAACTACTGTAGCTCTTTGTCCTTCTCCAGTCTTTCTTTTTGAACATTTTCAATGATAGTGCAATCAATATTTTACTGAGAAGACCACACTCTAGATCTTGTGATAAGTCTATAGTAATCTGTGCCCATTTAATTCTGGTACACTTCTCAGCAGCTACATGATTCACGTTGCATAATCAAAAGGCAGCACTTCCTTGGTGCTCATAACTTTCCCAGCAGATTCTGCTTCAGAGCCAGCATCACTAGCGGATTGGCACTTCTTTAACACAAAGTCTCAGTTCTATTCTTCAACCTGTGGTATAGGCAGCTAAGTTACAGAATTCAACAATCCACTTGCCTGGAAAGCCTCATGGAAAGGGAAGCTTTGCAAGGACAAAATCACCTGGGAGTCAGAAGGCTCTACAACAAATATTTCCCTCACCTTGAGGGGTCCTAGGTATCTAGGTGTCACTGAGATGCTAAATCAATGAGATAAAGTCCTGGGGCTCTCAGACTGTGTGGCTTAGCATCCCGGTTCCAACATGTGCTAGCTTTTTGTGTTTTGGAAATTTGTATAATCTCTCTGTCTCAGTTTTCCCATTTGCAAAAGTGGACAATAATAATTATTTCATGGATTTTATTGTGAAGTTAAAATAAGATAATTCTACATAGTAGGCATGTAATATATTTTAGCCATAATTATTAGTAGGAGTAATGGTAGTTTTATCATTCATGACATTTATGTTGCTTGGTGGACATAACTGCCCAGATTCCCCTTCAGGAATCAGTTAAGTCACTTTGCTTAAAGTCTTCTTCCTGTGGGCGCTCACATCCAATGACTGATAAATATAGGAGTATAGGTTTGCCACCTGAGTCTGACTTCGAGCAAAGCTGAAGGTCCATTCTTGCTCCAGGACTCCCCATGGAGTTGACTGAGGTTGTTGTTGGGGCTGTGTTGCAATTCAGCCTATATGTCTGCCAAATCCTGCTTCCTTCCGCTGCCATCCTCTTCCTTTCTTCCCATCCCTTCCCTTCTCCAGTCCAACAGGAGTTGATTCCAAGTGCACTCGTTAATAAGGATCCTGCACACCAAACCCCACCTCTGAATCAGCTTTACGGAGAACAGCGCCTGTTACAACAGGATGGGAAGACAAATAAGTCCCCTCACTCAGATGTTGCACCCCATAAACTAGGACCTGTGACCATCAGAGCTCACTTTTATCAGTCTTTGGCATGTTCTAGGGTGTTTTGAAGGTCATAATAACTCATTAGTTCTCCTAGGAACTGGTCCATTTCCAGGCATTTTGCCAGTGCTCTGGTGGACCAATCATACTTTCAGGAAGGGATAGTATCGAAGGAAGGCCTTGAGCTCCTAGCTGGAAACACTGCGTCTGGCCTTGTGTCTGCTGTAAGTGTGAAATTGGCAGTCCAGCGAGTAATACGTACCTTCCCTTCTGGTGACCAGTCATTTGACCTTGCTCTCTGAGTCACAAAAGTTTGGGGGCATGATAGAAAACAGAACTTGGAAGAGTTTCCTGAGGGGCTAAGAGTAAAGCTCTAGACGTTTTTCCTATGATGTTTTTCCTATGGAAAGTGCAGATTTGTCTGTTGGTAACAGGCTGAGTTGGTTTTGTATAAATATACAGATTTCAAAATGTCAAGGGACTCTTTCCCTTCTTTTCAAAGAAATCCAGTTGTTTTACTCTTGCAGCTTCAGACTCCTAGTCTATTTTATTATAATTTCTCATATACTGCCTACAGGCTTTTTGGCTTTACACCCACAAGTTCTTTTTTCTATGGTATTAATTTATCTAAGTTCAGGGACTTGAATTCATTTAAATAATGGATTGCTCTCTAAATAGCTGGCAATTAAAAAAACCAAAAACTTCGAAGGATGAATGAATGAATTTTAAGGAAACACGAACTAATCAATCCATATTGCAACCGGAGTGACCTTTCTAAAACACACACCTTGTTTAACATCCTTCATTAATTTTCTTACTGTGCCTTAAAAATCCTGCATAATCTAGTAGTTATCTTTTCAGCTTCATGCCTTACCATCCCTTAACGCATCTCCTCAATACACACATAGACACACACACATTTTTCAATTGGTTTCAGACAAAGTTCAAATGTAGCACTCTATTTTGGAATATGATATATTTTTCTCCAGTCTATAGAGGCATTTTTAATTTGGTTCCGTTTTTATTAAATATTTAACAAATTGATAAAACCACTGTATCTGTTATCATGTTAGAAGAAGCAACTAATTTCTTTTAAATTATCAAAATATGTTATTGTATAAATTGGTTTTAGATGTAGGTATATCCTTAAGTGAAGTGATATGTTAAAGTTATTGCTTTCCTTATGACCTTTCTATTTCCTTCTTTGGAGTTATTCTTTTACTTTAGGAGAGCAAAATTTTGATGGGTTGCTACATCAAGAAAGGGAAGAGTTGTAGGGGAGACTTATCGACTTCTTTCTTTATATTGTCTCTGTAGACCCTGGGATATGAGGAGGGATTCAGTAATGAAAGAGGGATATTAGAGACATTTCTGAATCTCCCCTGTTCCTCTTTGTAAAGCAATACATCTCTTTTGAATATGGAAAACAGCCTAAAACCAAGCTAACTCCTCTCTCAAATAGGAGGTTCCAAGATGTAATTCTAAAGCACAAGGAACTTTTTGAACTATTTTCAAATCTCGTTGTGTGATAATATAAAGTACAACTAAGAAGAGTTTAAGATTCTTTATCCAAGTAACAGAAAGATTTTTCTACATATTTTTTGCCGACCAACTCTCAAGGAATGATTAAAAAAAAAAAAAAAAAGGAATTCTTATAGCCAAATGGAGAATCAGATCGCATTTTGCAGACTTCAAACTTGAATTGTATCTATCTTGTTTTCAAAGTTGAATTATGTTCATTCTGGAAAGTAATTAACAACAAACTAATAGGTTTTAAAAAGAGGAATGGAAGACTGTCTAGATTTTCCTTTTTGATTACTTTGATACTTTAGTTCAGGTTTATAAAGTACAAATTGAATTGAACTGAAATTCTGTATTCTATTTCCTGGTCTTGTATCACCTACTAACTTTGCCTCAAATAACATGTGGGTCTTTTTTTTTAAATTTTATAATACTCAATTTATAATGAATATTTTATTTTTTGTTAGAAGTAAAATGTATCTTGTGTTAGCAATTGTCTTTAAAAATGTTTTTTTGGTATTCTATAAATAAAACCTCCCTTTAAAAATATTTGATAATATATAGGGCAGAGAAGACTTCTTGAAAAGACTCACTCGAGGTGAAGTGTCTAATGGAATGGTGATTCAGGTAATCCTAATTTGGTTTCAATATTTTATTCTTTCTTTAATTTGCATTATAGTTAGCAATTTAAATTTGCCTGTAATGAGGCATCTTTTCACTACTTGGTTTGCAAGCCAGCAGTTTTCTCTTCTTAGCTGATGACAGTTGCCCTCTGTATATGGCTAGCAGTGTCTGATCATGCATAAAGAAACTGACCTCCCATACACATATCTCATTTTGTGGCTTAATGGGAATTTCTGCCAGTCTAGTAAAAGGGCAGTGGGATCTTATTCCTAAGTGTCTCTTTAGTGTGCTTTGTGATGGTGTTATGTTTTCTTTACTGTGTGTCTTTCAATTGAATTTCTTTATTTAACACTGAAAGAAAAATGTTATGATATTTCTATATAAAGATTTTGAAACTAAAGCATTATAGCTAGCAAAATCAATTTTAATTTTTAAAATATTTGTCTGCAACCTGCATATCCTTTAGGGACCCAGGTTGGGTATTTTGATCCCTGGCATGTTTCTAGAATGCCTCCCATTCAGAAATACATAAATATTTGAAATTATTATTATGAGAAAAATAAAATCAAGAGGCAAACAGTCCAAAAAAGTGTTGTTTTAAAAATTTTTTTGAGATTTTATGCACCTTAGGTCCTCTTTGAAGCAAACACAAATTTTGTGATTTCTTCTATTAGGAAATTTGACATTTTCAAACATATAAAAGTTGTGTTTCTCTGCTTTATATCCTTGAAAATACCAAATTTCCTAATTTATTTCCATCTATCTATATATGCTCAATAATTCCATAATCTTCCAGCCTTTTTTGCTTAATATTTTGTTATTAACTTCTTATTCATTGGTTTTATTTGCTCTTAGATTGCAGGAATTACATGTATTTCAGTATTTGTTGTTAGTGTGTTTTCTAACCTTGTTATCCTCCGATAGTTATGAATGTTTGATTTTTATTGTCTATTAAATGTTTTTCTTTCTTTTTTTCTAAAAATAACTGTGTGCTCTTTAAATATGGTATATTTGTACCTATTGCTTTTTATGGTGGCATTTTTTTTGTTTGTTTTCAAAGAACAGCAAATATTACTGCCTGGCAGAGGGTAGAAACTCAATAAATGTTTAGGTAGTTAATAACTGAATGAATTATTTAAAATTTTTGCTGGCAGAAAAGAATGTATTCTATTCAAGAAGATCAGGTACTTGAGAGGCAGGAGCTTATGCAAGAGAAAGCAATATATACCCTAACGCTGGCAGAACTAGAGGCACCTATGCTTCAACTAGAAGAAGATGCTGCAAGAATCAGAACTATCCACAAAGAACATTCTGATGTAAGCATTTATAATTAATCCAGAAACTAATTTGCAGGAATATTTAGGTTGATAAATCATGTATGTGGATTTACATTATTACTTGGAAAGTTATGATTTCACAGAGGAAGACATAAAAGCATGGACAAAGTTACTATTTCATGACCACACAACTGATCTACAATGAAACTATATAGCAAGACTGTTAATGCTATTACCTGGCACCCCATACTCTATCTTAGAGTGTAGTTAGGAAAAGCAGTTTTCAAATGGGTGAGTAGTGATTTATCTGGTGTGATTGCCCACTATGGTAAATTTAATCAAAGTCTTCACTGCTTTTTTGTGTGTGTGTGTGAGGAAGATCAGCCTTGAGCTAACATCCTTGCCAATCCTCCTCTTTTTGCTGAGGAAGACTGGCCCTGGGCTAACATCCGTGCCCATCTTCCTCTACTTTATATGGGACACTGCCACAGCGTGGCCTGACAAGCGGTGCATCGGTGCGCGCCTGGGATCCGAACCCGGGCCGCCAGCAGCGGAGCGCAGGCACCTAACCGCTAGCCACAGGGCCGGCTTCTTCACTGCTTTTTAATAAAATGCTACAGCTATGTTTACTCAAATCTAAAATATAATGCATCTTGACATTTTCGTGGTAAATTTTTGATGCATGTAGAAGAAGTTAAGACAGGATGAAAAATAAAGCAAATGTCGATAAAATATTTTCAAAACAACAAGTTTATGGCAGTTATTGATATTACTAACCCTTCCCAAAGAAAAATTTAGTAGAAAAATATGTATCCATCATGTCATTAGTTTTCTGGAGAAGTAGAGGGTGTGGTAAGAGTTATACATTCTTGTCTTTAGCTGCAGGGAGGACATACATATATTCATTTGGACCATTTTGGCAACAGGATGTTTTTCTTTACAAATGATGTAACTTTATATTCTTAGTCTTTAATAATTTTCAAAATTTCTTTATATATAAAACTGTTTGATTTACAAGATGTTTCTATTATGAAAGTTTATTTCGATCTTCAAAGCCTCCCTATGAAATGGGCAAGAGAGAGTTTATCTGTATCGTTGGCTTGAGAAAACTTGGGACTAAATGCACAAAGCAACTTGTACAAGGCCATAAAGCATAGAAACAACAAATTCTGAGTATACTACTCTACACAGGGCTTCTAAATGCTTTTCCTAGAGCTCATGTAAGGAATATATGACCAGTAATAACACCTAATGAGAGAAATGATTTTATTAATGGCTCTTCCTCATTACATTAATGATGGAAATTTATTAATTGCATCAAAAGCTTCAGTATAATCATCTGAGTATGATAATAAATTCCAGAAAAGATTAATGACTTTTATTTTCCCTTACTTTATAATAGCCATTGTTTTATATCGTCTTGTAGTTCAGTAATCATTTTTGTTTTTATTATATTTTAATAGTTTATAAATTATAAGAACTATTAATTTAGCATGAACTCTTGAAAAGAATAAGTTTTTATACACTTTCTGTAATGATTGCTGACAGTTTGTACTTGGAGTTTTAATTTTTGTGAAAATATTTTAAATACTGTGATGAAAAGTTGTGATTTCTGTTTGAGTTTATTAGCTTTTGTTACTGAGCTAATTGGTTAGATATTGGTTTTCTCAGGTAATGCAAATTAAATATTGGGGTTGTGGATATCATAGTATATTTTTGTAGTTCATGTGTGGTGGTCATTTCCCTTTATACCAAAATATATGTTGTTGTTATTAAAATAGTCACTTGGGAACTATTTGATCTAAACCAGTCATAATTTCTTAATGTCTTCTAGACACTACGTAATATAATTGAGAGGAAAGAATATGTTAAAAAAAATGTGGAAAGAACTAAGAAAAAGTTGCAAAGAAAGGGGAAGAAAACCCGTGATTCACTAGTAGAAACTGAGGTAAGAAATTTAATATCAAAAAACTATTTTGAATTTACAACCTCTTTATGTCAATGAAAACTATTTGAGCAAATCTAATTTTAGGTGGATGCCTCTCATTTCTAATTGGTTGCACTAAATTCACTCCACATGTGCGAGCACGTGCGCACACACACACACACACACACACACACACAGAGTCTATGTGTCTTCATTTTCTCTCTCTTACAGTGTCTTTCCCACTGCTCTGGTGTATCCCCGTATTACTTTTTCTACAAAGTAGAGGTAGGGATTTGTAGTGTACTAGGTACTACATGTTTCTACAGATGAGACCAATCTACAGACTGAAACATTTGTTGATATCTGACATCTAAATTTTACCCTCAAACTGGTATGTAGGCAGCATGAACAAATGGCTGTACTATATCAAAGGGCATCAGGGCTTTTTCCAAATTAGAAATATTTACTCCCTGAAAATCTTCACATCTAACATTCTATCTTTAGAGAATCATTGGATGTGGAGAAGTGAAGATGGTCCATTGTCTTAAACTTGCTGTCCTCTGGACATGTGTTAAAGGTAGCACCAATAGGATTTGTTGGTGGACAGCATGTGGGCTATGAGACAGAAGTGTAATCATATCATTTAAAAAAAGTTTGCCCTGGGGCCGGCACGGTGGCACAAGCGGTTAAGTGCTCGCGCTCTGCTGCGGCATCCTAGGGTTCGCTGGTTCGGATCCCGGGCGCGCGCCAACACACTGCTTGGCAAGCCCTGCTGTAGCGGTGTCCCATATAAAGTAGAAGAAGATGGGCACGGATGTTAGCCCAGAGCCAGTCTTCCTCAGCAAAAAAAAGAGGAGGATTGGCAGATGTTAGCACAGGGCTGATCTCCTCACAAAAAAAAAAAAAAAAAAAAGTTTGCCCTATACTGGGCCACAAAAGAAATGTAAAAACAAAATTACAGAGGAAAATAATAATATTTATAATAATAATAATAGATATTAATATTTTGCATGTTTTATATATGCTAGGCATCATTCTAAATGCTCAGATATATTAACTCATTTCATCTTCATGATAACCCTATGAAGAATGTGCTGTTATTATCACCATTCTACAGTTGAAGAATCTGATGCCTTGTTTTTTAATTAACTTGTTCAGTTGTACACAGCTTGTTAGTGGTGGAATTGAGATTCATAATATCTGGCACTGGCACTAGAATCTATGCTCTTAACCATTAAATTATACTGGTCAAGTCATACAGGTTACTTTTATTGACCACAATGAAGTAAAATCAGGACTCAATAACAAAAAATATAGCAAAAAGAAAAAAAATTATGTAAACTACTGGAATATTTTTTAAAATCCCCTTTTCATTATTAATTTGCTTATCAGTAGAAAAATGCCAGAACTTCCAGAAAAAGAAAGAAATCAGAGAGGTATGAAAATTCAAATATAGTACCCAGTGTTCAAAATCTTGGACAAACAGCAGATTTTTATAGGAAAATAAATATAAAAGATTAGCCATTTTTAGAGAATTAGGAAGCATATGGGGAAAAATGGAGGAAAATAGGAGCAAAGGGAGCAGTTCAGATCATTTGGGCGAGTAGCACTAATTAGAAGCAATGCCAGATGTGGGGGACGACATTCATAAGTCAGTCACCCAGTCAGGAAATCAGTCAGTCAATATGAACACCAACAGTCATGAAGGGATCATGCAAAAATAGATGCAAAATCTGATCTCCAATCTGGAATTGCACAGGCCAGCCTTGGGAAATTGTGCTGGCGTTAAATATTGATTTCTTTTGTTTGAAACATCAGAGCAATATCTATCCTTGACCACCTTCAATGTGCATGTTTGAAAACCAGTGATCACATGTTTGCATCTTGAAAGGACATACCTTTAAGGTGTACGTGTATGTGTGTGTGGGGGGGGACAAGTTAGTGCAAGAGAGTGAGGAAAAGAAAGAGAGAGAGGAAGAGAGGTGGGGGGAAACAGATTAGATAGTTCTAACCCATCTTTTACAAAATCTCATCAGATGTAACAATGGAGAACAGAAGGTAAACCTAAATTGATACTTATATTGATAAGAGGTTACTCTTTGCTTTTAATCATTTATACAGCCAAATGCAATTGTGTTCTTAAATTGCGAGGATTTGAAAATCCCAGTTTTTAAAATAAAACATCCCTGAATTTTTTTTCAGAAAAAAACCTCAATAATTTTTGAAGAAATAGAGGCCACTAAAAGTAAAACAATTTTTTATCATGCCAAAATAAATCAGTTGAATAAAGACTTAAAAGAAAAAGAAAAGGAAAAGAAAACTTTTGATCAGATTCTTGACAGTTTAAAGTAAGTACATAAATTTTATCAAAATGTTAAGTATGTTTAATATATTATTTATAAAATAGATAAGCTCAAATTTCCATATTTAAAATTTATTCTTAAAATGGTCCGTATTTTCTATCATAATTTGATGTGGAATATACCTGTGATATTTGATAATTTTGGTTTAAAAACATAATAATAAATTGCTTTCCTTTTTCACTGCTCCCCTGGGTTTATTCTTATTTGAATAACTGGGAATATTTCTTCTTTACCAAGTATAAGAACTTTTATTCCTTATGAAGTTAATAATCTTTCTCACTAATTTCAGTATTTCTCACTTATATAGCATGGTTAATAATGTATGGTTTTTCACCCAACCTTTTTTGATAACAGTTTTGAGGTAAGAGTTTAGAAAAAGATATTCTGTAAGACCTTATGTAATTTATTCACATTTATTGTCTTCAGAAGCCTCTTATCCAGTCATCTCATCAGTGGGGGGCATACCTGACAAGGGTTACTAAGGCCTTTCACTTGGAGAGTAATCATGCTCTAAGACTCTTAGGGTATCTGTAGACCCTCACTTAGAACTTAACATCCTCTTCCTTTACTCCTCTTGGTTCTTATTTCCTGTTTGGACTACACTGAGAACAGGGCTTGGAGGACTATTGGAGGCATATGCATTGGTCACATTTAGGAATGATAGTTTGATTTAAATGTGGAAGGCTGATACAGCATTAGCAAAATCATAGCACTTTAGGGATCAAGTGTCAGAAAAATAGTTATGCACAGCCTAATATCGTACACCTTAATGGAGTCAGGTCAATGCACTCAACAAGGATTTGTTTAGCTGTTACCATAGAGTAAAAACTTATTTTCAAAATGATCATACAGCTTTATCTGAAAAAGACTAAATCATCTTCAGTATATCATATAAGAAAGCAAGGAAACATGTTTTACTTTGAAAGATATTTATCTACATTGTTTAATATCTGTAAGAATATTTTGGAGCTCAAAGGTATAAGCCTAAAATTATGTAAATCACATTAAACTTATAAAGATTTAATTCAGGAGCAGATGAATTTTTTTTTTCGTTAGGAGTCTTACCATTTCAGTCCTAACATTTTCTTCCATTCTGTGGCTAGATTATATTACCTTTGATACAAGAGTGGTCACCATGTCCTGCTGCATTAATTCCCTCTCTAAACTTGACAAAACTCTGCCTTTCCACAGGAAAGGGAGAAAAAGTATAGCTGACATTGTTCTATTATTTACAAATCTATTAATTAACAATGATAATGGATAATGTCAAGTAATATTTAAAACCACCATTGATTGACTTCCTAATGTGCCAGGCACTTTGCAGGCAATCTATGTACCTTATCTCATCCAGTTATCACAGCAGATTCTTAAAGTATGTAATAACGTTCCCATATGAGTGCTGAAGAAACAGAGGCTCAGGGAAACTAAATAATTGTCTCAAGATCGCACAGCTAATTAGTGGCAGAGCTAGCTCCGGTGTAGGTTCATCCTGTTCCAAAGTGTGCGCTCTTTCAGCTGTGTGTATTGACTCCCTAAACTAGGATTGGAAAGGAAGATTACTGCAGATAAACTGTATTAGGAATAATCTACTGGCATTTTCATTAGATGACAATTTAATCTTTATTTATTGAGATCCCATAGTGTGCCTAGTGCCAGGCACCAAGAGGGACAAAGAAATGGCAAGTGGGAGCGTGTACCTCCGAGTATCTCAAGGTCTCTTTAGAGAGACAAACTTTGCATATGCAGAACAATTAAAATATGGTGATAAAAATAATAGCAATCAAAGCTACCGTTGGCTCTTATTTAATTTTTACAACTGTTTCTTAACTAAGAAATGAAAGGATTCAAACCCAGACCCATAGGACTTCAGTTTGTTCTTTTTATCACTATGAGAAAAGAAACAATATTTTCATGCATAGATATATGTATAAGTATATGTTATATATAATTTATATATATCAAATTAATAAAATGCTATATTGAATATAATCCAGTCTCAAAATACTTAGTGTAGAGAACAAAGTATATGTGGTCAGATACAGTGATGTTTGCTGGGAGCAACTATGAGAGTTTTTTGGTTTGGGTCATACTAGCTCCTCCCTGTGGGAATTTCACTGGTTCCCTATGCTCCACAATGTCAATATTAGTGAATACTTATATAGGACATCACATAAGAATTGTGGATGTTGTTGGTTTGAATGACGAAATAGAAAAAACAGGAGGGAGACAGGTGAAAAGGAAGTACTTTATTCCATTTAGAAAGAGAGGCTCACATCTAAAAATATTAACAAAGAGTAATGTTTTCAAATTTACTGATAAAAGTCATAGAGAAGAGAGAGAAAAAAATTGTACTTACTGTTGAGCTGCTGAATCAAACAGAGCAAGACAGAACTGGATTTCATTTCTGGTTCTGTCCTTCACTAATTAGCTTACACAAGCTAATTCTGCTGAAGTTTAGGTTTCTCGTCTGTAAATTGCTGTAATTATTCTTTCACAAGGTTGTTGTTGTATTAAATGAGATATTATATTCAAAGCACTTTAACATTTTAGCCACTCAAAAATTTTAGTCCTGCTTCCTTTATAGCCAAATGTGCAAATGATTCAATTTTCTATACCAGTAGAGATGAAAATGAAGGTAGGTAACATAAAGACTGTGCTGAGTGTTGGCAGCTCTGCTTATTCTGGATTCTAGGTTGCTGATCAACTTTGGCAATTATTTCTAAAGCATATTTATTTTTGAGATACTGTTTTAACCACTTTTTGTTGCTTTTTCTACTAGTATCGTGCCTTACATAACTACTGATTTCACCATAAAAGTCATTTTACCTCTGTGTCAGGATGTACTTAGTTGCAAATGACAAAGACAGACACACACATGCATGTGCACACACACACACACCAGCTTAAACAATAGGGAAATGTATCATAGTATAAAACAGAAGGCCGATGGGTAGGACGAACTGCAGGATGGGTTGATTCAGCAGCTCAACACTAGGTACTCATTTTTTTTTCTCTCCATTATGGCTGCTGTCAGCAAATTTGGAAACTTCTTCACATTTAGTGGATGTGTGCCTCTTCTACATGGAATTAGTCCTTGCCTTTCATCTTATTGGGCTATCTTAATATATATGCTCACTCCCAGGCAGTTAGCCACCTGCTGATTGACTTAATCTAATCAGAATGTATCCTTGGAATTACACGCTGCATGGAGGAGGCGTTCTTTTGGAATGACAATAAAACAGAGGCATGCTGGGTAGGCAATCAAGAAAATCCACTAAATTTCTCCAGAGATTTTCTTCCCCCTGGATCATTCAGATGTAGCTCTATGGAGGTAGGCCTATGAAAGGGACTAGGGAATTTTTCCAAAACCCTTCAGTTCTAAGATTTTTAAATATTGAGTCTTTTAAAATGTATCATAAATGTATTTTAGAAAATAAAATATGAATCGATTAGTGGCAAATGCAATTCTTTCTCTATAGAGATCAATTTATAACTATGAGATATAAAAAGGAGCATGCACAAGCTGTGTTTGATCATCTCATAAGTGAGAAAAAAGCCTGTGATGAAAGACTCTATGAGGAAGAACAGAGGTATAGAACACTCCTTACCATGAGGCAGAAAACTCTGGCAGGTATTAAAGTGAGTATTATTTTTTGACTGTGTTTTAGAATGAAGGAAATATAGTGATAGTCAAATTAGCAGCTAGTTTGAGACACTCATTTTTCATCCTGAAGTAGCAATGATGTTTGGATTTTTAAAAACAAATCTGTTAGTATAATCAACATGTAACTTTTCATTTTTTCTTCTGATTATAATATATTCCTCAGCATCTTATATTTTTCAGTGCATTTTATGTGCACTCTCATTTTGTCATTGTACTTTATTTTATTTTGAAGTCTACTGCTGTAAAAGTATAGGTTATATTTGTTCCAGAGCCATTTTTATGTTTTTAGTGGGAGATATGCGAATAGTTACATTTTGTTTCTGAATAAACATACTTCGAATGTTTACCAACCACTTTTTTGAAAAATGAGACTATTTCATGCTCTTTTCCTTTAGAAAAGTTTTACATATGTTTTACTTGCACCGTAAACTTACTGTTTAGAAGCAGGGAAATCGTATAAAATGTGTCTTTTTAGATCTGAGGTTTTATTAATTACGTTTTATAGAGCTATGCATATTAAATTTTTTGTATCAATATGACTAAATGATATACGTTTAGTTAGGTGAATCCTATCCCATTTTTCATTTTGTAGTAATTTTGTTACATTTAATTGGAATAATAAATACCGTAGTTTTTACTTATTTTTCAGAGATACAATGGGAAATTACTTCTAAAAAATAAAGAATTCTACTGCATTTTATTACAACTATTTTCTGCAAAACTTTTAAAGATATATGTAATATAATATACTTTTATCAGCTATTTTTGATCCTGATATTTATATATTCACTTATGATATATATATTCAATATATTCAATTCCCTTTTTTCCTTTTTACATTTTCAAAGATATTGCTAATACATTTTTAAAAAGATTATTTGGAACAAATGTACATTGAATAAACAAGTATGTAAGTGAGTGAACATACTATCTTTAATGCTGTTGCTATGATCCATCCTATAAGAAAAATATTAATAAAAGAACAGTACTTTTATTAGTAATGGTGCTAAATTACATTCTTCCATTTTAAATGTGGCCATTGCATAGAAAAAGAGGCTTTTTTTGGCCTAAAAATATGAAAATAGTTGGTGCCATCTAGTGGCAATAAATGATGCCTCCTCTTGGAGGAGTTCCTGGAACTTTGATGGCCGAGTCTGTTATGTGACATATGAATGGACTGGAAAGGCTTAGCCTCAAATGCACCCCTCAGAACAAGGAGGCTTAAGTTATTTACTGACTTAAGCATCATTCCCCACCTCATATTTTATCACAGCAGTAGAATTAGTTGTTTGAATCCAACCACATTTTCCAATCGTGCTGACGCTGAGAACACAGTGGGATCTCAATAATCATTTATTGACCAGCATTTCAACACTTTAATGGAACAATAATAATTAGTGAAATGGCAAAATATGGTCAGCAGGAGAGAGATGAAGAAAAAGATCCTATACAGCTAGCCTCTCAGTAATTGAAATTTGTATTACTTTTCATCCAAACGCATATCTCTGCCTTCGCATTCTGAAGTGTATGTACCCCCAGCCACTTGGACACATCACATGGTGTCATGTTTTTTTCTTAGCACCAATCTCTATCTGAACCTGTTTTGTCCATTCATTTTTACTTGTTTGTTGTCTGCCTACATCCTGCTACAATACTGTATTCTCCATGAGGACAGGGGATTTTCTGTCACATTCTTCTCTGTATCCTAAAAGCTCAGAACTATGCCTGGCCCAACGGAGGCACTCAGTAAATACTCTTTGAATGACTGAATGAATAAATGGATAAACATATGCTTTTTTGGTAATTTTTCTGTACCCATGCATGATAATGTCTAAAAACAAGATTATTTCAGAGATACTTTACATACTGCACCAGCCTGATACTTAAGTGAATATTCATGCTGGATGCAGAAGCTGAATCTCTCTCTTCTCTCTCTCTCATTCTCTCTCTCTTTGATAATACATGAGAAACTTTCCATCCCGTCTGTTCCTTCTAGGTGAAAATGGTTAAATTGTCTATTGTTTTCTAGCAATTAAGGATTCTGCTAAATATCTCAATAATGCTTCTCAAATAACCTTGAATTTTTATGAAATTGTCTCTTATCAGCGCTTGGATAGCTCTTTGTTATGTATTCACCTTACATGACCAGAAGCATAGGGTTTGAACATGCAGAGTTTAGAGATTGATATATCTCATCATTAGTGACACTGTTTATCTATGATTATGATCAGTTATTGGTGTTAAAGAGTGGAAAGACAGTGTCATTCTTCATACAAAACCTATTCTTATCTCTGTTTAGAAATTGGATGAGATAAAAATATGTAAATATGTATGTAACGTAAAACATTCCCAGAAATAAAAAAGTCTTATTAGGCTTAATTATAAATGTGGTGTTACTAATCTGGAATGGCCCCTCTGGACAAAAGAATTGATCACAATTATGGGTTACCTGAAGGAATTATTTAATAAAAGACTTTATAAAAGCCACAGTGGAATTAATTTGAGGATATGAGAAATAGAATTGCAAATACAGCTAATAAAATAGTTTAAGAAAAAATATACACAAACTTCAGATAACATACAATGTGGTTCTGGAGTTAAATGCAATCTTTTTCAGTAGGCAATTCCATATCAGATATCTTTATTTATTTATTTATTTATTTTTAATTTTTTGTTTATTGCAGTAACATTGGTTTATAACATTGTATAAATTTGAGGTGTACATCATTATACGTCTATTTCTGCATAGATCACATCATGTTCAGCACCCAAATACTAATTACAACCCATCACCACACACATGTGCCGAATTATCCCTTTCACCCTCCTCCCTCCCCCCTTCCCCTCTGGTAACCACCAA